ACACGTAATACGCGGCACACAGCACAACAATCCGCCAAAACAGGCAACCCGGCCCAAAATTACCACCGTAGAAGGCAGAAACCCCGAGCGGCAGTGCAGGAGCCCAAGAATTACCTTTAAAACGGCCACAGGAGCTTAAAAAGACCAACTGGGCACAACTGGTCCGAAGGTAAGTAGTTTCGGACTAGTCCCAAACTGGTTCCCGGACTGGCCCCGACTGGTTACCAACTGTTCCCACGAACTAGTTAACAACTGGTCCCAAAGTGGTTACCAACTGGTCCACAGAAACCGAAATCGTAATTTAACCATACTGCCGGTCTATTCTATTGTATCAGTAGTCCATTTGGCTCGATATTATGACAATTCAGCAAAAAATATCTAATATAGAAAATCGCCTTCCTTTCCATACGATTTTTGTGTACGTCTTTTTCCATTGATAACCACAATATCTTTTATATTTTATATTTTGAGGACACAAATTATACAAATCCAGCAATTTTAAATATTAATATCGTTCTGAAAACACCAAGTTCTTTAAAAATCGCGATAAAACGAAATACTAAAATGGAGTATTTTAGATACTATTTCCCAACGAATCGTAGTATAAAAATTAAGATCGGCAGCACTGAAAATAAGCATGCTGATCTTGTCAAAATCACAACAAACACGTCGCTACTGACAACACCTTGTTATTATTCCACCATGGTTTATACCATGATAAAAATATAGTTAGGTAGAACCGCTGAGAGTAACTTTTAAAATTCTTGACGTTTCCAATTTTTTTTTTTAATTTTTAAATTTACTCACAAACTCACACGCACATTTTCATTTTCAATCTCAAGCAACAACAATTTCGAACAATTTCTTTTTTTATTTTCACTTTTATATGATTTTAAAATGTTGGCAAACTTCAAAAAACAATCATGGCCGACAAATTTTTATCATGGTTTATACTCTGCTGAAATAAAAATATAATTACATATAGGTAAACATTGATATTTAAATCCATTAAAAATTTTTTATTTATTAATAAAAATCAGCGGTTGAAAATGCTTTATTTCATAAGGAGAAACATTTGTTTACTGTTTGCTAAGCAATGTCGTCGGATCTACTGCATTTTATTTAGTCCAAATGTCGAAAGTTGGACATGGACACGGCATATATGTAGCTGTTTTATTGGTATTTGTATAACCACAATTCTATGGTGGTTATTACTACTTAACTTAAATTTTTCTGTGACAACAGATATCGCGGTATTAATAGCATTTCTGATTTTAATTGGTAAGTTTAGAGATTTAAGGGTGTAGTTCTAAACATTATTTAAAAGGAGGTATGCTCTTTCACAGCAGGAATAGGGTTTATATTAAATTCGAGTATAAAATGTATCACATTTTTAATATTGGCTGGTATGGCAGGCAAGTCTGGACGAAGCTATTTAAGAGCACTGGTTTTCGCATACATAATATCAGGTAATTAAGACAAACATACATATCGCACACCGTCTTCAAAATTTTTCAAATGCGCTAAAAATGTACACAAAGATTTTATTTACCTTTCAGCAAAAGCTGGAGCAAACTTTTGTTATAATTTGGTAAAAAAACCTAAGGTAAAGTCTCCCTTGCCCATATGATTATCATGTGCTAAGAAACAGTTTTTTGCATTTTCTGACAAACGTGTAATTTTGAGTTCGGATCGGGGACTATTTCTCCCGGATTTCGCAAGGGGCCCCGTGCTCAGACTCCACAGTATATTTCATAAGATGTTGATAAATCGGAAGTCACAAAACAAGTGAAATATTATTCAATTTAGTGCAATTTATAAGTTCAGTTGAACTCTTTGAAATCATCTACTTTTTTAAGCCTTCCTCTCTAGGGGCACAAAGCTGAGAGAAAGGATATGAATTTTTGAATATAGAGTTCGCATGCCTGGTGAGAAAAATGTCCAGGCAGTTATTTGCGAGCTCTGATAAATATACATCAGGCATGCCCAGCGCAGCGCACTTGCTAATGGAATTCTACCAGCGTTGGACATGACTGATATACATATTTATGTACATACATATGTACGATTGATCTGATTTCATCCTCCCCTCGGTTGTTTCCTAAAATGGGAAAAGAAGACGTTCAGACTGCAGCAATTTCCTTTACAAAAAATATCCTGCTCATGTGTCCGAAGAGATTTCAAATGAAATGATGCACTTGAAAACCGTTTAAAGGGCGAATTTTTCTGAAAATTCTGAGGATTGCATACCTCCATTTGACCTCTTAAATGCCATCACAGTTTCAATAATTTGTAAAGTAAACTGAGTGAATACAATTTTCATTGTTTCTCTCTGATTCTTTCATTTATTATCACTACCAAATCAATGGGTAGGTTCAGAAGGTGCAGAAGTTGAGCGCAACCGTTGCTTAAAATATCAATGATCGTAATGCGTCTTCTGAACGGCTTGATACATTAGCTGTCAAATTCAAAACACACAACACGCTTCTCAAATGAGAGCTTTTAGGGGCCCACATTCGGTATTCCCCCCGTGCCCGAAACTCCTCTCTATGGCGCTGGCGATATGTATGTACATATATTGTTACGTATTTCGTGCATAGATTTAATTTTAATATTTGCAGGACCTATCTCTAATTTAGTAGCAAATAGTGGAGAGGTAGTACGAGTATTTGCTTGTGCCACTACACTCGCATACAATTTGACAAAGACGCGGTTGGATTTAATGACGAAACCTTTTCAGAATACGTTAATAACTATGAAGGATGATGTGACAGATGTAGAAAACTCATTCGAAAAGATGATTAAAATTTTAGAGCCAATCTGGGCCGAAGTAGAGGAAGCAGACTTTGATTCAATTCATCTTTTATCTCGTCGAGAAGATAAAAGTATGGGAGACTATGTACAAAAGGCATACTCGAAAAAATTTGAAGTCCGTTGCAAAAGGCAGCTTAATAGGGGGAAACAACGCTGCTTTGAAGCCTTTGCTAAAGCACGTTTAGAATGTGAGAACGAGTTTCCACGCATTGTACGGTTTTTGTTATGCTGGCCGTTTCAAGTCGATTTTATATGTCGTATGAATTTGTTAGGCAACCCGAAGGAACTTTGTAACCCTAGTCAAGTTCTTCCTAAAAACTTTGGGGAGAGCTATGCCCAGTTAGATGATACTCACCGACAATTACATAAAAACGGTTCCCGAATAGAGGTGAAATATAAAATAAAATCAGCAATATCGGAACCCGCACAGAGGTAATTGATTCTTTTTAATATAGATCCCTCCATACTGTATATTTCGGTATAATAGCGAAGAAGCGCAGAAAATTCGATATTTATGTGGGTTTTTGCACAGTATGTAGTTAACCACATGCTTTTTTAACAAAATATACTTAGTGGGGCATTCACATGGTATTAAGAACTTTTGAATCGCGGGAATATAAGCTGACCAACCGTCCTCCTTTGAGGAGGATTGTCCTCCTCAAACGTGATTTGCCCTCCTCAAAAATATTGTCCTTCTCTATCCTCCTTATGAGCAAAAATGTCCTCCTTGTCCTCCTTTTCAAGTTTTATAGCAGTAATAAAATTTTCAAAAAATTTCGTTCAGAATATTATTATTTTCTAATCGTACATATTCATTGGCTGCGTTTCTTTATACATTCCGGATAATCCCATTTCACAGCCGGAATAAACAGAATACGTTTGAAATGTACGTTAACATATCAACAGGAACGTTCTAAAGAATAAGTAAACAAAAAAGTTTATTCCAAACGTTCAGAATGAATAAAGAAATTCAGCCATTGTATTTAATAAGCGTTTACATTGTTCAAGTTTCAGTTAAATGATGTAAACGTTTGATTCAACTAATCGACTGTGGTTGGTTGGTTGGTTGGTTTAAGTGGATTGTCACTCAGGTGACAAGCAATTAGCAAGTTTGCCATTTTGATTCCACAACTCGTGCAACCTACAGCCATTTGGCGGCTTTAATAAATTTCAGTACGTCATACAGAGAGAGGCAGCTGCACTCTGAAATATTCTGCAGGAATGGTTTGCCGAGTGTCTTTAGCCTCATCCTTGCGAGGGCTGGACACTCGCACAGCAAGTGTTCGACAGTCTCTTTTGAGCCCGGGTCATCGCAGCTGCGGCAGAACCTATTGAAGGGCAGTCCTATCCTTTCGGCATGTACCCCAACGGGCCAGTGCGCTGTGCACACTGCAGTAAGTTTGTAGGAATTTGTTTTGCTCATTCCTAAGAGAGCTTTGGTTTTGAGTGGGTCGTAGGACACCCAGAACTGCCGGGCAGTTCTGTAGGATCCTGTGCAGTTCCACCTCTGCCTGGCCTTCGAATGATAAATTTCGGTAATTTTTGTCTTAATCTCCCCCAGGGCATGCAGTCTGATGGCGCTGTTAGCAGCTGAATTCTCGATGAAGATATCTATAGGTAATAAGTCAAGAAGGACGTTCAAAACGTCCTTCGGACAGGATCTCATTGCGCCTGTTACGCTAGCGGTTGCTGACCTTTGAATTCCGCCTAGCTTTTTAACTACGTAATCCTTAGTAAGGGCTGGCCGCCAGACCAGCGCCCCATAAGAGATTATGGGTCGGGCTATAGCTGTGTACATCCAGTGCACAATTCTTGGTTTCAAACCCCATCTGTTGCCCAACATTCTCTTGGCTGCAATGAGAGCCACCGTGGCCTTCCTAGCACGCTCCTCAATGTTTGGTTTCCAGTTAAGTTTGGGATCCAAAATAACTCCAAGGTATTTCACCTTCTTTGACAGATCCAATTCCGTTCCTCGGAACCTGGATTTATTAAAATTTGGTAATTTTGTTTTATTTGTGAAAATCATAAGGCCAGTTTTCTCCGGGTTTACGCTAAGAGAACAGCTTATGGCCCAGGAATCTACTATATTTAAAGTCCTTTCCATAATTTCACTTATAACCGAAGGAAAATGACCCGATACCAGTATAGGTAAATCATCGGCGTAAGCCAAAGCTTTGATTCTCTGAGCGTCCAGCTTTATCAGTAGTTTGNCGGCGTAAGCCAAAGCTTTGATTCTCTGAGAGTCCAGCTTTATCAGTAGTTTGTTTAAGACTATGAGCCAAAGTAACGGTGATAGCACTCCTCCCTGTGGGGTGCCTCTCACTGCATATACGGCCCTGCTTTGGTACCCCAATTCGGCATATATTACTTTGCTCCTTAGCAGAGACACTATCCAAGCCCGGACACAGTGATCAACCCCTGTTTCCATAAGTGCTTCATGGATGGAATCTACACTGACATTATTAAAGGCCCCCTCGATGTCTATAAAGGACGCCATTGTAAATTGTTTATAGTAGAGCGAACTCTCAATTGTACGTACCACTTCATGTAGGGCAGTCCCCGTTGACTTCCCTTTCAAGTACGCATGTTGTGAGCATGATAAATTGGACGTCTTGTCCCTAGCATACAGATCCAACAGCCTCTCAAACGTCTTGAGCACGAAGGACATTAGGCTTATTGGTCGGAAATCTTTAGCATTGTCATGGCCCCGTTTGCCCGCTTTAGGAATAAAAATTACCTTAATCTTCCTCCAGCTTAACGGAACGTGGTTCAGTATTAGGCACCCTCTAAAAATTGTTTCTAGGACTGGAATGACCATCTCAGAAGCGTTCTGAGCATGACTAGTAGTATTCCATCCATACCCGGTGATTTATAGGGTGAGAAGCTGAAGATAGCAAATTTTATCATTTCCCTCTCTAGTAGCTCCTCTAAGAGGTCCTCGGAGAGGGTTGGTATATGGTCTGGGGCATCGGTTTCCACTACATCCATTTTGCACCCTGGAAAATGTGTATTCAGAAGGATATCCAGCGACTCCCGAGCCGACTCGGTCCATGAATCATCTGACCTTTTTATATATGATGGCTGTGAGTGGGCACTCAAGGCAAGGATTTTGCTTAATCTCGCAGATTCCTTGGTATCCTCGATGGATTCGCAAAATTCTCTCCAGGACGCCTCCTTGGCGTCCCGTATCGCTTTTTGTATTTCTTTAGGTTCTCTCTGTATAGGTCCCATACCTTAATCCTGTAGCATTCGTTGAAGGATTTTCTTACTTGCTTCCGTAGCGCTGTAAGGTTCTCATTCCACCAAGGTGTGCGCGCTTTCTTGCCATACCTCAGCGGACAAGCTTTCTTAAGGGCCTTTCCGAAGGCCTTATTCAGGCTGTCCGCTTTGGCGTCCAGCTCGCCCCTTGTAGGAATGTCTTCAACTGGTAGTTTCTTCAATTCTTTTCCAATAACCTTTTGAAATAAGTCCCAATCTGTTTTACGAGGGTTTCTAAAGGGAGTGGGCGTATCCGCCGCAATATTTAGCTCAAAGAGTATTCGACGGTGGTCCGAGAGAGTCTCTTCCTCGGATAGTCTCCATTTATTGACCTTTAAGCTCCCCTCAGTCAGCAGAGTTAGGTCTAGGACCTCTTCCCAACCGCAAAAATCAGGGGTACTAGGAAATATGAAGGTGGGAGTACTACCTCTATTACAAATTCTAAGCTTAGAATCAATAATAAATTGAAATAGCGACTCACCTCTTTCGTTGGTTTCCGAGCTGCCCCATAATATATGTCTTGAATTGGCATCGCAGCCGAGTAACACTGGACTAGCTCCTGCTAGCCTTTGTAAAGTGACGACTTCCTGTGGCGGACACGGCCTGTCGTGCGCCATGTATACGGATGATATAAGACAGCTTTGTTTATTCATCAACTCCAAGTTGACGACTGTAGTATCCGGTGAGCTGAAATTGGAACATAAGAAAGCTTTAATATGTTGTTTAGCCAATACACACGCGCGGGGTTTACCTGATATGCTAGTGTAGAAGAGGTTATAGCGGGCGTCGGTGAGTCCCTTAACCTCTAGGGCCTTTACCCAAGGTTCCTGTATCAACGAGATGTCGATGTCTTCCTCCCTTAGGAAGACCAGGAGCTTGTCCGAGGCAGCCTTAGAGTGCCTAAGATTTGCCTGGACCACTTTCATCGACTTTCTCGGCATTAACTGGCCCTGTGCCTGCCAGCACAGGTAACTTTGAGGTTCATATCGCCCAACATCTGGTTGGCATCCTCGATATCAGCCTCTGGAATCGGCTCATTGGAGCAGAATATTGTTAGTTTCGCTGTTCTCACCCCGAAGAGCAGCTTGTTGTCATTTTTTGCAATGGCTCAATACTTTCTTCCTTAAGCCTCAGAAGGTACGAAGAACTCTGCACACCCTCTAGAGGCTTTTCTGTACGAATGACACTCATGGGTATTTCTGGATTCTGCCGTTGCAGGAAGCGGATCAACTTGTCGCTGTGCATAGCCATCTTCGGCAGCCAATTGCGGGCCCTGGGTTTCCTAGGTACCTCCTCGGCAGGGATTAGTTTGAACTTTAAACCCTCTCAGGCGTTGCCGAGCTCGGCTACGCACTTGCCGAGGATTTGCCTAGAGAACTCATCTCTACATTTGAAAATCCGGCAACCCCTCAGGGACTCACTGAAGTCAAATACTGGAATAGGGTTGTCCGGATTTTCAAACAGGTAGTCGCCCACCCGTTCAGAGAGTTTTGACTCGATCTCGACCCACCTCTCCTGACCGGGCTTACCGCTGCCTGTGGCTTCGTCCACTAGCGCGACCTGAAGGTGATTGCTGGCCACTTCACAGTACCGTCGTTTCGCCGCCGTTTCTTCTTGCTGGGGCGTGCTTTTTGTGTCCGCCCTTTTTCCAGCTGGTTCTGTTGTAGACTCCTCCTTAGGTCTACTTCGTTTAACTGCCACAGGCTTCTTGGTTGGTTTTGAAGTAAGGTACCTCCTGTAATCCTCCACCACCTCATTGCACCAGCGACTGTCTTCTTCATCCTTGGGGTGTACAGTACCGGCCGCTGCATTCTTGGCAATCTTGTCAACCCCGGCAGAGCCGGCATACCGTGGGAAGGCACTTATTCAACCGACCTTGCCCGGGCATCGGAGGGGACCGTTAGCGACTAGTTCTTTAAGCACTACTGGCCGTTCATCCATCGGCACGGGTACCTCAACACCACTGGCTTAAAGTGCTTTCCAGAGGAGGGAAAGGGGGGGAGNGGGGGGGGGGGGCGGTTAAAGGAATCGGTTGGGTTCGGAACGTCGGCGCGGGCGTCTACGCATGGGAGCTGCAGCCCACGGCCGCCACACGAACTACGGGTGAGCAGCCGCCGACTCCAGTCCTATACCCAGTACCCCTCTTGGTTCATGGTGCTGTGCCCGGCACACCAGTATGACTGACATAGCATCACTTAAGCCCCATCCCCAGCGGCAAGGAGACCGACATGATGAAGCTTTTAGCCTTATACAGTAATATTTTACCCTCTACAACATTGAAAGACAAGCTAACGACGCGTCTCTACAGGCTAAAATTATTGCCTGCCGTATGTCATTTTATTTGCCAGAAACATATGTATGTATAAGTTTTATCAATGGCAAAATTTGTGTATGGGGATTTTTTATCTTGATAAAAGATTTTGTAAGATGACATAAGATAAGTATGTTCGTTGCATTGAAGCGCAAATCTTCTTAAAATATTTTAGACATTGTGTTATTTCAAATCGAAGTATATAATCAAAAATAGCACAGGTTTTCCCCTTAAAAAACTAATTAGCTATTTGGGTATGTATAGGTATCATGCTACCAAAAATGTAATACAAATTTCGTGACGAAAATTTTTCAAGAATTTTTTTTTTAGAATTCTTCTTAGCATTTCCGTGCATTACTAGCGTTAACTTTGAAATAACATAAGTCCTTCTATTTACTTAGGCTCTTTATAAGTATTATTATTACTAATACGATTGGTTTTTAAGTAAAAATTCTATTCTAAATTAATTAACTTTTAGCTTTTCATGGAAATTGCAAAAAATTCTAACATGTAAGTACATGTCATCAGTAAATATAAATCTCGACGTGCTGGAAAATAACCAGGGATGTATTTTAATTTAACATACCTAGATTACGGCTGTCATAATCCTGTACCCATCGACTAAGACACTTATCATCCAAATCAAAAACGAAGATACAAGTGAATATGGTGCCAATATATTCCTTGCAACAACGTTGCCATTTTTCATCAGTACGCCAGTAATGCCGCTTTTATTACGTGCGTCGAACAGGCCCTGATTTATGATGATGGAACGCTCACATTCAGAATTTTTAATTATAAAAGAACAAATTTATCTTGACGGTGACGTAACTTGGAAAAAACGGCGCCTTTAACGTGGTCTTGAATGTTTGCCTAACCACCATTAGCGAATTTCCGCATATCCTACAACGCACTTTATGATAATTTTTGCCAATTTTTATATGCATAACCTGCAGATAATTTAGGTAGGCTGTCTTAAGTGAAGCCATTCTAAAAGACTCACCCAACAAGGACTGGCTGCATGCTTCCTAGAAAGGTGTTTCCTATTTACAATTTACGCGAATATACTTAAGTATATGTTATATTATTTAGCATTACAAATAAGATTCAATAGGCATTGAAAGTCTAAATACAACTATTAGATATGAACCTTAAATAAATTCCTTAAAGATGTATGATTTTTATAACTTAAGAAAAACTGTCAAAGAACTTCTTCAAACGGCGGCCTACAAAAGCCCTTCTGAAAGCTCTTTTTTGAGTAGAGAAAGCACAAGCCCTTCAAATTGAAATGAAGGAGAAAGGAATAACTTTAAGAAAGGCCTTTTGGATAATATTTTAGCCCTGATATTATCTACTGGGAAGTATTTAAGTATGTATAAG